TGACACATTGATGACAGGAATCTGGGAGGACATTTACACACACACATATGTAGCAGTAATGCCCACACTACCACCACCCAGTCACCATGTCCGAGCGAGGGGCTGAGGATCAAAAAAAGAGACAAGAACAGCGGGTCATTCGTCTCAGCAGAATGCCGAATGCCGTTTATTGAAAGAGGGAGGAAACCTTAAATACAGGCTTACAGCACAATGGGAGAACCCCAGAGGGCAGAAGTTCGCTACCCATGTTTGACATTCTTGCATCCTAGCTGTTTACACCAAATGCAGGATACACAAACAAGGAACCTCCCGTGAGCATTCAGGAAGAAGGAAACCAGCAGGGAATTAGCATATGGAGGGCATCTGGTCAAAGTCAGCAACTGGGGCAACAGCTACTCAAAAACGGGGGGGCCAGGGCCCAACACACACACACACCCCACATACACATACCACACACACCACACTGTACACACATACATACACACACACAACAGATACATACACACACACAATATACCAAATACACATGCATACATACCACACATACATATACCTACACCATACACACATACACACACTACATACACATACCATACACCATGCTGCATGTATGTATATATACACATACCACATATACACATACTACTCACACACATACCACACACCACATACACATACATATATAGCACACAAGCACACCACATACACACACACATACACTACATACACATACCACACATATCACATAGTGCACATATACATAAACACACATACCACATACACACCACATATACACCACACACATACCACATACATATACCACATTCACATTGTACACATATACATACACACGCATAACCACACACTCACATACATATAGACACCACACACATACACACACATACATATCACACAAACACATGCCACATACACATACCACACACACCACACTGTATGCACATACATACACATACCACACATACACACACACACATATGTAGCAGTAACGCCCACGCTAC